CAGAAACTGCTGCTCTGCACTTATTATTTTTTTAGTTATTGCCCTTTGTTATTTTTCATATTTCATTTTTGTCCTGGCCATTTCTCCTAAACTACATTGTTCACAAGGCAACACATCCGACTCGCGGAGTTCTAGTTTGTTGTTGTTTTTTGATGTTGTGTCATTTCTTTTTTAATTTTATATATTTTGTGTCTAGACATTGGAAATAATTTCACATTAATCTAATTTTCTTAAAGTTATTACATAAACATTTCTGTCCTTGTAATGAATTAAAATTTAAACTTTATTTCGTTATGAAATATAGATTTTAGACTTAGTACTAAGTACTGCCTTTTCAATAATATTTTAGAAGGCTATTCATTTATTTATTCATACTAAATTGGCGTTATTGTTTTGATATTCTGGTTTCGGTCTTTTATCAATTACCTTTACAATTTCCTGTTATTTCGTGAAAAAAACGGTATATCTTAAATATAAAGTGTTCTGTCTCCATTGCAAATTGCAATGATTTGATACATAAAACTCATTAAGAATATATGGCATTTTTTTTTATCTTTGATTCGTCGTTAATCTATCAGACTCGTTTTGCAGATTGTATCTATAAGATAATAAAACATATCCTTTCGTTATTTAACAATAAGTATTACTTTTAGAAATGACATCGAAATAGAGGCTGTCTGATTTGTACGAGAGGGCGCTGCTCCTAAGTATGAATCAAATGTCGAGAGATTTGTTGCTCTTTCTCTCTTGTATAATATTATAGGGCAAAAATAAAAACACGTTCCCTGTCGTCACAATATACAACTAAAGAAAATACTACCATTGAACGATCATCTAATTATGCCTTTTCTTTCGTTGTCCCGTTTTCTGACGCCACAATTAGGAAACCACAGGAAAAATAAGCCAATCAATGAAAATACTCCATTCCATTTTTCTCACAGACGGACAATGCGGTAACTGGAGTGCAAGTAACCGTGCATTCGAGAATAAACGGTTTTACTCAGACATATTTTCAATAGTAAGGTCTGCAAACTATGACGCACTTTATAAAAATGATTAGCTGGATAATCAAGGGGTTTAGATTGTTACTCTCGTTTTTTAAGCTGATTTTTATAATATAAAAGTTTACCATTCAAAATTTGACATTGACCACTTTATAATTTGTAGTCTTTGTAGAATGTGTTTGTTTGATTGGGTTTTATGTCACATCGACACAGTATTGGTCATTTGGCGACGTTCCAGCTTTACTGGTGGAAGAAGACCTCAGGTGCCTTTCTGTGCATTATTTCATGCACGGAAAGGCACCTAAGTAGAACCACCGACGTTCCGTAAGCTAGCTTGATAGCTTCCTCACATGAAAGAATCCAAAGTCCCTGTCGGAATTCGAACCCACAGCGGTGTGAGGCAAGTGGTTTGAAGTCAACGACCTTAACCACTCGGCCACATAATTTGTAATTACCATTTTCATATTATTATGTTATGTTTTGTTCGTATTGTTTATTTGATAAAACCGATGAATTAGTCTTCTGAGTTGAATTATTGAAATGAAGCACGAGTGTAAACTTATCTAAGTGGAAACGTAAACAATATCTTATGTTGCCTGGAATTTGCAAAAAAATATTATTCCTCTAAAGGCTGCATGGAAAAAGTTTCAATATTAATATCGTGTCAACGAACATTAATTACAGCCTGACATCGCCTGGGTATGCTGTATATGAGCCGATTGTGGAATTCTGTTCTAATTCTCTTGGTGAAAAAATGGCCGAATATACAGAGTGACAAGAAACAGCGGCCCTCCATACATGTCGAACACATATTCGATCGGATAAAAGTCCGCGGATATACCAAGCCATGGCAAAAATTCGTTTTTGTCAGCCAATAATTCCTTTTTATAACATTATTCCACTTACTTGTTAGGTTTTGTTTTACAGTCACTAGGACTTAGAGCGAAATTCTAGCCGGTATCCTTGCAATTTGACAATTTATAAGAGTATATGTAGTTAAGTTCAAAAGCATACCGATTTGATCCAGTGCACTTAATAATATCAGAAAATCATGAATAAGGTTTTTATGCATTTTTTACGGTTATTGTTTCTATGAATAAGTTAAGACATTATTTTCATTATGTTTTTAAAGCCATCTTGCAAATATTTAGAGTATCTTCTATGTCGGTTCAACTTCTAGGTTATGAAAAAGATATGAACTAATTCGTAACGTAGTTGAAACTTTACAATAACATAATTAAATTAAACATTTGATCTTTAACTTGTATTTAACGTAATGATTAAAAAAACGTTGGGCTTTAGAAAAAATTCAGATTATGAGGTTAATTAGTTGTAAACCCATCTTTAATCTAGCCTAAATTTGCTGGCCATTTAGACAGAAAATTGGGGAAACAATCCTCTGCCGGCCATTTTATTGATCCGACTATCATTAGACTTAGATGATTTTCTACCATAATATATGTCACATATAAACGTATGAAACACACTCTCCTTTTAACGTTGAACCCAACTGAAAACAAACTATTCCGTTTTAAAATTGGACATTGTGTCTGGGATAAGCATGTTTTATCAGGAAACGTATATTATGAGGCTTTAAAAATGATTTATCGGCATTTAATATAAGCTAGACTTTGTTAACCTTTAACCTGCCTTAACCAAAGGTAACTAGTCTTGCCACCAGAATGGAACCCGTGTCGCTGTTAGATCAGTTGTTTATTTGGATATTGAAGCCCCTAAAAGACTGAGTGAACAGTTCCAATTTATGTAAGCGCAAATCTGTTACACAAATTCAACGTGTTAATGGCTAAAAACCAGAGAAATATAATTTCATGATCACGGGTAAATAAATATCCAATCATTTCGCCGGCCTCTTTCTCGTGTATTATTCTTAATTTTCATTATATTCCTTGACATAATATCATATTCAGTCTTGATTGTATGTCTATGTTACTTATATTGATCATGTCTTTTTTTATCATTACGCCAATATAGAATCAATGAGAATATACGAGACAAATTATTTGTTCTGATAGCTTTAGAGCTACATCTCATTTATTTGATAGCTTTTATCGATACGTTAAAACAGAAATATAGACTATTTTATGGAGCATTTATTTTATTTATGTCGGAAGAAATCTTGTTATTTCCTTAACCAACATAAAATATCCTTTATATAGTGCTTCAGTTAGATATTTATGAACATATTGACTGAAAAAACTTACACTATTTACAATGTATCTCTACGAGATGTATGGTAACTCTTAAGATATAAAATATTACATACAACAATTCTCTATCTCAACTTATGATCATGTTCCTTTTAATATATAATTTATAATTTTATAATTTTTATACTTTATATTATTATGGATTTTGTTTTGTAATATACACTTGGTTGGGTTTTAAGTTACTTTTACAAAGAAAGTGTCACTTTGTGGAACATTAATATACTTTTTAATGCTTTTAATATAGAGTTTTGTGTAATAAACACCTTCAGTTGGGTTATGAGGTATAATTACAATGAAAACGACATTATGCGAACATACATTTTAATCTTAGAACGTAGAATAATACTTTGCTTTTAAATGTCTTGAATATCTTTATGTCTATGAAAGGTAAGGGAGTAGTTAAAAAGAATTTACAATCTAGTACCATAAACTTACGACATTGAACATAATGCGTAGTAAGATGAGCAGTATTCTCTTAATTAAAGTCCGTTTCAATAAAGTAATTTTAGTAAGCTGTAACCGAAAGGTATCCATTCACGATATCTTTCTTTAGAGGGAACACTTGAAACTATTTCATTTTTCTACGCTCAAATTCTTACAACGATGGTTGTTCTTTTAGCTGCTTTGCAATGATCAAAATTTTTAAACGAAACGATTATATTTTTGTATTTAATTGATACCATTGACATAATTTAAACTATGATAGTACTGATTCTTTTGAAAATGTGTCTATATTGCACATTTACACCATTGAACGATCAGTGCATTTTAAACTTCACATAATGGTACATAATTATGTACTATAGATATACGCTTGCACTATATCATATTAAAGCTAAAATTGTGTAATAATAAACATTGTTAAAATAATTACATATAGAAATATACGAATAGTACAGAAGGAATGTGTTTTGCAAGTTAGGTTACATTTGACACTAATTTAGAGTAAAAAAAGACAGATTAGAGAAACAATATTTCCATGGGATCTAATACAATAACTCTATGTAGATGAATTTCTACCATATATGACACAGATACATGTATCAAATCTACTCTCCTTCCTTAACGTTGTATGCAACTGAAAGTAAACTGTTCTTTTTTAAAATAGGACATTATGTCTGGGATTAGTATGTTTTATCGGGATATATATCAAAGAACGTATATACATATTATATGCCTTAAAAAATTATTCATTGGCGTGTTATGTATCAGTGAGCATAAATTGTGCGTTTGGAGTCTTTCACAGTTTCCTCACACTCACACCTACTTCTTTTCCTTGGCTCCTTTCATCCATGTGTGATCGCCTGTCAATATTTCATTCATACATAAACCCCTTTCAAGCTGTTATTTAGCGTCATAAAAGGGGTAAAAGCGCGCGTGACGAGTTGGATACCGCTAAAACTAATTAACAAGGGAAGCGGTGGCCAAGTGCTTAAGGTGTCTGACTCTCAACCCAGAGATAATGGGTTCGAACCCTACTCGGGTCACGACCATGTTACTTCATCACCAATACTAGTTGGTTCAATGAAGCGGACTCGATTAATATAAGTTACAAGAACTTATTTCGCAATCGAGCTTAAATAAAAATGTTTAAACCAAATCCACAAGAATATTATAATTTACTTTTTTGTTAAAGTATAAATACTCCTTAAATGACCCTTTAATAATATACCTACTTGCATTTGAATTATATTGCAATGGTATAACATTTGAAGCGTCATTTCTACATGCATAAAATATAACAAACTAAGCTCAATTATATAACAAAAACTGTTATTCAATCCATAAAGAAATATTGAATATGAAAATAATGTGATCAAAATAAAGCCATTTTCTCATTTAACATTCATATACAGGATGATTTATAATGTTAAGCTAGCAGGTGAAGAAATGGCATAATGTATCTAAGTATCTAACATAAAAATGTATGTTCGCATTTTATCATTTTGCATCTTGTTTAAAAATCACTGATGAATGAAAAACCTCGCAGGAAATTTACAAGATTAAATCATGCATCCGTCTCAACTAACCGGCATCTAATAAAATGAAGAAGCAGTCGAACAGTATATTGCACAGTCTTAGTAAACGTGTATTATACCCTTCAAGTTAGTATTCAACCTGTTGTTCTAAATATCCACTGAACGATGTCCATGTTTCTAAGCGGCTTGATGGAAGTTGGAAACAGTGAGCTATGCTGACGACATCACCGACCTTCAGTTTTAGATAAACTGAGTTTGAAACTCCGTAACTTCCATTGTCCGCATCGATTTGGGGATCTACGTAAGCTCTCACCGTTTTGGTTCCGTTCAGAAAAATAAAACACCCGGCTTCGTTGACAATTGTTGACTTCTTTTTGGTGATATGTAAGGAAAAGTAGTAGAGTCCGCTAACAGGACATGTGAACTTGCCAGTCAATATGTCAAACCCGTTTCCTTCGTTTGTAATGACCGTTGTGAATGTCATGGAGTTTGCAATAGAGTTTGCACTGCCAGAATCAGCAGGGGAAGTCGCTGTAAAGGCTACAACTTTATCTGAAAAGATAAAAGAGCAAATTCCACGGTTGTGAAACAATTTGATGATCCTGATACAATTCGCAGATGCATATAAGATTTATCGGAAAGCTGTAGTTTAGCTGAATCGTAGTGTACAACCTGCGCAAACAGCATGAAACTCGACATGGTGGTACTGCTGTTAATCATGATAACATGTACTCTGACAGCTGTTTGATTGAAATAGTGTATGGTTATGTCCAGACATTAGTATCTAGGAAACAATATAATAGCGGACTTTTAAACTTTGAAAAGCTTTTGAAATTAGAAATAAGATTATAACTGAGGTAAGGTTTTTAGAATCTTTTTTTTTTTTTTGAAAAAAAAGCGAAACTAACATTTAGTGTTTTGCTTATGTAATTCTCGCAACTGTCTTTAATTTAAAGAAAGTTTGTTTTTATGTCGAAGGTATGAATGTTTAATTCATCTTTACAACAAAATGAGTGTACAATTGTATAGTGACGCAAAACGTCTACTTCAAATCTTTATCTCAATTCATTATTTCATAATATAGTTTTTTTTTATATCGGGAAATTTATTTGCCCCGATTGGTATGTATCAAATTAATTTGTTTTAATAAGAGAACCAAGTTTTAGCTAAAGATGCTCATAAAATAACCCTTTTATTACGCATGTCTTCGGAATTTTAGTTTATAATAAACCATAACACGGTGGTATTCGTGTGCATGTGAAATATGCAGTAAATACATAAAAGATATTCAGCTTTTTTTTCTTTCAATACATGTATTAATATAGAAATTAATATTTCATGAGTGTAGGCATGAGTGAAATAAGATCATTTTAATAGTTACCACAAAATGAAAAAAAATCCTGTAATTATAAAAACAAAAATGTTTTTCTGTTAATATTTATATATATATATATATATAATATAAATAGAAATATATATATATATATATTTGATAGATTTTCTCATAATAAATGTTGTGTATTGGCAGCATTTAGAAGAAAGTAGTCCGCAAGACACCAGTGAAAATATCTTTAACTGCAGTAAGAAATGAATTTGACAGTGAAAATACGGAAAATGAAAATATGCATTTTATTTCATCAATTTGTCATTTAAAATGTTTGCTGAGAGTATAATGCGTTTGTACTTAGCAATTGAAAAAGTTCAATAACTAGTCCTTACTTTGCAATTTCATCTTAGAATTCACCATGTTTTCGATCATTTCTGAGACCACAGTTTTCTGTCGATTAATTTCCTCCGTATTCTCTTGTTTGTATTTCTCTAACTCTGCGGCAAACAACTTAGATCGTTCTTCTTTCTCCTTTTCTTCTCGCGCCTTTAATCCGTTTATAAAATCCTCGAATTTCTGAACCTTGTCTTCAAATCTTAACTGTTTCATTAACATTTTCTCGTCGTAGTCAAACCTCGAAAAACATTTAGGTTCTCCAGGTTCTCCGTTGACGACGGAAAGACACAGTATCACGACGGAATAATATTTCAACAACATATTAACTTGTTAAACCAGTGTGTAGATTTTTGTATGCACTTGTTCAAGAGTGAGATTGCATCAAGTAACTACTATCCTTATGTTTGCTTGTTGATATAGTAACGAGAAAATAACGAGAATAACATATGTTCTCCTATGATTTTGATGGATTGCTCATGATGTTTAGGAGATATTGAAATGATTTCAACGGCTTTAGCATACGCTTCATGTGCAGGGGCAAGCCGTTGTTTTCGTGAGGAAGAAACTTAACACTCATTGCAAACTACTTGGTTGGTTCCAAGAACGGATTCGAAAGTGTTTTAGAAAGGTTATAGCTTCCATCACAACTAAATTAAATGATCAAAACCTAAACATGCGCTTTAAATTAACATTTTCCATATTTGACACACACACGCACACGCGTGCGCACGCACACATGTTTCTAAAAGAACAATGATGATATGCATGATTCTGCTTAATAAACCTGGCTTTTTGTTTGATTTGTTCCTGGAAATTTATTTAAGATTCCTTCCTTCCTTTAAAGTTGTTTACATCTTGATCAGATGATACCGGTAATCAAACGGATATAACTCAAACTTTTTCATTACTTTTTTATCGACCCTCCCTATTTTAGCTTTTTATTTTTATCTAGTTTAACCGTGCTAATGTTTTCGATATAGCTTTTTGACGATTATCTTTATATTAGAAATCCAGGCATAAGAGTCGTTTTTTCCTTGAAGCTCGTAATAAATGATAAAGACATGAGAAGAATCAGCTGACTTATAACATTTACATCTGGTTGCGCTGTAACCAGAAACAAGTATGTTAATATCATCAGCAATTTAAATGTGATAAAAAGCAAAGGAAATATTGAAGAAAAGTTTATAAGCAACATACGTGAAAACAACATTCTTGTTGTTAGTCTCAATCATAACATTGCGTGTATTACCTTAATACGTAAGTGTATGATTACTTATCTTACAGGTCTTACAGGTCTTAGGAACTTATGACGCAAAAACTACAATAAAACTTAGCAAGTCTTTGATATGACATCATTTAATAGTTAGATCGAAATGTGATCAAACTGTCAGCAACTTCCCCTTTTAACTTTTATGCTTCGCATAGAATTGTTTCGAAAAGTTTTCTTCCTATATCAAATGTTATAGATTTAAACATCCGTTTATTAAGCCACGGCATTATTTAAACAAGCCAAGCCTAACATAGTAAGATGCCTTTTCAAGAACGGGAGGTTTAAAGATTAAAGTCATTTGTCATTGCAAGTATAATATCTCGATATTCATGATAAAATGTATATCTGAAATAAGGATTTTGTCTCTATAACTTATTACCAACAAAAAGTACCATTTACACACTGTGGTTTTAGCTAGACAGATGTCAACGGTTTGATAGCGCTTACTCGTTTTCACACGATTCAGCTAATATGTTCATGGGATCAGTATAAGCCCGCTTCTGATTCAAATAAACCAATAAAAATATATTTATTCTTTAAAAATATACGTCAGCTCATACATTTGTTTTTTAGAAATAAGATATTATCCTGCCCTATTTAGAATCAGTAATCAATAAATGGTAATCTTTTCAGTTACTGACTAGAATCTACTGTATGACATGTATTTGATCAATATAAATGAGGTTATAATAATTCGTATGGTCTTGAGGAATAATCAGACAAATCTGCATAAGTTTGAGTAGAAATATTTTAACTTTATTTTAGAATTGTTTCATTTTCAGAAATGTCCACAAGATTGTAAAATGTCTTTTTTTTAAAAATCAACATCTGTATTATTATTATATAATATCATATCTATAACTTTTCCTTGAAATAGTATATATTTACTATAATATGTAAGTTTATCAAATAAACCGCGGCGCAGGAGTGTAATAAAGCCATTTAATAAAAACGATATTACACTAGTGTAATAACACTTTGACGTGACGTCATTTGCGCTATATATAAACATAGCGTTAAAGCGCGCTATGCTGGCGTTACACTGTAGGCGCGTCATTGAAAAATTACTCATTTTATCAGTTTACTGTTCTTATTTTATATATGTGATAAATAGAATATTGTATTCGTGTAGATTTAATACTAAATTTATTGAACTCGTTGAATAAAACAATATTATGCTCGCCAGAGGCTCGCATAATATGATTTTATTCAACTCGTTCAATAAATTTAGTATTAAACTACACTCATTCAATATCCTCTATATATTTTATTAAAAAAGATATAGAGGATATTTGTTTGTTACGCCACTCGTGAGAATACTGTTTTTAAAGCCCACTCGATGAAATAAAATTTCATCTTACACAACAAACAAACAAATTTTCTTTTTATTTTATGCTTAAAAACAAGTTAAAACGAAATTTCCTTAATATTTACGTTAATATTAAAATCTGTTTCCCCATTTAGAGCCTCAAAAAGTCGAATTTCTCATTAAATACAAGAAGACATGGGCTGAAAAATAAGTTCCACAATCAACGTTAAATGGTGGTGATAGTATTCATTTTATTAAAAAAATATGTCTGATCGCATGTTTAAATAATAAAAACAAACAATTCTAGTAAGAGAAAAAGTCCAACCATCCATCCATATTTCTGTTACTGACGCGAATTTATATTAGACCTGGCTATGTCAAATGTAAGCGGCCGCCATTTTTAAAGTTGTGTATTTCACTGGAGGAAAATAATTGTGTTTGATTCAGAGGGATATCATTTGGATTTGTTAGTCATACACCTTTTTAAAAGAAAGAAAACTTATATGAGGATTGTAACAGACAATAAATAAGTGTTGACAGATGTGTAAACATTCAAAAAAGTGGATAGGAAATTGGAAAACTTGGAAGCCTTACGAACGCTGGGTTGTTTTACATATTCTTCGACTGAAAGCTGCCATTGCTTTTCAAGTTTTCATAAAGCGTACTGCAGTTTTTGCTCGTAGGATACTTAAATATTCCCAAATGTCATCAAGAGCAGTTTTGCATGTGGAAGGAATGTAATTTTCAGACAGTAAAATGAAACGAAAAATTAAAGAGACGATATTTGGTGATTGGTTATTTTAATGAATAGAAGTAACTTACTGTAAGTTTTCTTCTTTTTATTACTTTTGACATATAAGTTATTTATCAATTTCAGCTTTGCTTTTCTTTAAACAGCCTGGTATTGACGGAATAGTCAGCAAAAATAAAATTGAGGTACCACATGGGGAAAATCTTAAAAAAGTAGTTTCGTCATTGAAAAGTGTGAAATTATATTTTGATAATTTTCCCTGTGAAATTATCAAATATAATTTTCACGGATAAATCAGTAATCCACTGAAAAGCATAAAATAAATTTTACTTTCCCTGAATTATTGCCTCAGCCATTGCAAAGGAGCATAATATAGATGTTATTTATAGCAATTTATGAATACTTTCATCGAATCAAGTAAACAAATTGCAGCTTCATAATATAATTATGCTTTATTAGCATTTAAAGAAACAAAGATCGTAAGGTTAACATATTGAGTCATCTCTCCTTTACCCCGTATGTGTGTTACAATTGTACATTGTGAGTGGGATCAACGACACACTCTACAAACATAATTTCTATAAATCAAATTAACTTTATTTTAATGAAGCACAACATATTGATATTATTGATATCAATTTTCAGTCTTATAAATATATATAAAAAGTTACTTTTTACATTCTTTTTTTCTGAAATCTTTCGTAATGAGAAAAACATTATTCTATATACATTTTCCCAATAGACAACAATGAACATGTTAATGAAAAATAAATAAAAAGGGTGTTAATCCTGATGTTTTCATGTTTAGTTCAGTGGATTCAATTACATTATTCCTATCATTATATGTCCTTGCTGCCTTGTGATCACTTCAATTGCATTTTCTCACTATAACAAGATGTTAGTTTTGTAACTCTATCATGAGAAAAAACGTCCATATATAAATTGATGTAGACATTTTAATTATATGTCTGATATCGGATTTATAGAAACAAAACAGAGACACAAATATCGTTTAATGTCACATGTGACTGATTCCAAAGAGACATGTATCTTATTAAAATAATATATTGAAAAATTATGTAAATTGTAACTGATTTATGATGCATTAAAGAATATTTATTTAACGCAATATTTGATTATATACATTTTTATACTAAGGAATGAATAAACTACAGAGATTGAGAAGCACGTTAAAGTAACGGTACCTGTAGTTGTTGAAAGTCAAATGATAGTCAAGTGACGCTAACTGAAGAATCGATGAAATTGAATTGTCTGCTCTTGTGAGAGAGTCCGTACATGATGGATAATGAAACAGTGAAACATCCTTTCACGCCTACTCGTACCGGCTTGAGCTGTACTCAATTTTCAACACTTAAAAGTGTTGGAATCAATGATCAGAAATATCATTTTAACGACTTCAAAATCACACGTTTGAGAAGAAAATGTATTACTCACAACTTATGTTAAAAGATAATTAGTTTTTTGTTATACAAATAGTTATTTATTTATAGTTATTATTAATTATGTTGTTTTATGTTTAGGGTTTCCAGATACATGTCGAACAATTATTCTGACTCAATAATACATACTCGCAAAAAGTAAATAATTATTAAAACGAGCATATATTTTTGTTTAAAGATTATTTCTAATTTACTAGCAATACACACTAACCCTTAAACTGCCTTTTCTTTGCCTTTCACTTTGTTAAATGATCAAATTTATAGACAGAAAATCCACTAGTTATTTATATGCATTAATATTGTTAAGGTTTTTATTTTATAGCAGTAATGGTAATTAAGCTTTTGTTAGAAATAGTTAATTGGTTAAATCAACTCTTCAAAATAAATGACATATAAATGTAGATAAAATATTATTCTTATTCAAAAGATAGTTGATTAAACAAAATGTCCGTCGGGGAATCGTTGCCGTATTTTTGTCTAAGTTTCTATAAAAGCTAATAGGTTTTTCCTAATTAAAATCGGTTGACAACAAATTTATCTACCTGGTGTGAGGAAAGACTTCGTAATTAATGAAAGACTT